CTGCCCTGGCTCAGGAGCCTGGGGGCACTTCCTGTAGCAGTTTGGTGGTTGGTGCTAGGCTGGTTGTAGATGTCAGGGGGTCGTGGCTGAGGCCCTTGGCCCTCCCCACAGCCCCAGCTTGGGAACCCAGGGGGCTTTCAGTCCTAGGTTTTATAGGTGTTCTTTGGTGGTGTTAGACCTTTACTGGTTAATATCAAACTTTTTCTCTGATCTGTGGGTATTTTGTTTTTTCTTTCAGTTCTGTGTTGGATTATTTGCTGTTCCCACCACTTAAACTCTGCACTGGAACTAATTTGTTGTCCTTTGCTTCCTTCTAAAATGGAGGAATTTTCTGTGGGAACCAGCACTTGAGCCCTGTAGTTGAGCTGAGCTAAACTGCTTCATTTCTGCTGATTCCCTGGGGAAGGCTTTTTGTGCAGCTCAGGTTTTAATGGTTGACCTTGTATGTGCTTCCAGGTCTCATGAGGTCTGGCACACCTGGGTTGTATGGAAATTCTGGTCTGGGCCTGAGCCTTTTTAGCAAACCGCACCCCCTGCAGTCCTGTACTCCTGACCAGTCTACACAGAGTGGGCCTGCACTGATTAGGGGGCAGATCAGCTGTTCATGCTGTTGCCCCAGTGTTCCTCTGGTGGCCCATCTCCCCCACTGCCAGTACTCCAAACACTTCCTATAGGATGTCCCTTGTGATGACTCACTGGCCTCTGAGTGGCTCCTTTTTTTCTGTTGTCTGTGGCTCCTCGCTCCTATGTGGGTCCACGGAAATCCTGTCAGTGGTCTTGCTGGCCTGGGGGCCACCAACGCCCCCTTCTCCCCTGCAGCCTCCAAGCAACTTCATATGAAGGGAACAGCTGCGGCTTTTGCCAGCTCTTGCTCGGTGTTCTCACCAACTCCAGCCTTGAAGTGGTCAGGGCTCAAAATGGTGGCAGCGATCCTTTCTTTCTCATCGTGGCTTCTCCCGCCTTCATGAACTCCGTAGGTCTCTACTCCTCTTCCCCTGAGCTCTAGAGGTCCCAGCTTGGCTGTCGTTGCTTTTTATAGTTGTAAATTGGTTGATTTGTGGGAGAGAGTGACACTGGGGACTGTCTACTCTGCCATCTTGATTGGAAGCCGTTTTCTTTACTTCTATCACGTGAGGATTTCCCTTGCTTTTGACAGTTTTTAAATATTTTATTTTTAAATATTTAGTTTTATATCATTATTTTAATTTAGAAATTTTTAATATTTTAAAAATATCTTATCTGGTATTTCTGTTTGTAGCAGAAAGTTGTGATTCATCATGTTGATAGATTCAGACCCTATGAAACCTTTCCATTTCTCAGTTTCCTCATCTTTAAAATGAGAATAATAAGTGCCTACCTCGTGAGGTTCTTGTAATGTTTCAGTGTGATAATACATGCAGAGCACTTCAAGTTCTACAAAGAGTGCCTAGAACATAGTAGGCACTCAGTAAGTTTTAGCTCAAATTATTGCTTTGCCTGGAACTGACTCCATCATCTGCCCCCATCATCTCCTCTTCTTTCCTGTGTCTGTCTAAATGAATGGCACCACCACTACTCAGTCACCTAAGAGTGAAACATGGGACGTGTCCCAGATTCCTTCCTCATTCCCCTCACCACTACCGTGTGAGTGTCTACTCTTGAAATCTATCCACTTATTTCCAAGTCCCATAAAATATATATATGATACTCTTTTAATAAAATTAAGGCAAATGAAATAAAAAATATGTACTTTGAAGGAGTACTGAGTAAGTGGGAAAAACATACAGTGTCTTTCCTCTGCTCTCATGGCACAATCAGCAACACAGAAGACCAAATTCTTTTTTTTTTTTTTTTTTTAAAGATGTCCAGTAAGGGAATCTTAACCTTTGACTTGGTGTTGTCAGCACCACGCTCTCCCAAGTGAGCTAAACAGCCATCTGTATATAGGGATCTGAACCCATGGCCTTGGTGTTATCAGCACCACAGTCTCCCAAGTGAGCCATGGGCCAGCCCTAGAAGACAATCAACTTCTGACTTCTGTGACCAAATGTGTGGGGACTTCGCCCCACTAGCAAACAAGCCAGCAATTCTCCAGCAGACACAAGTTTGATGTCTACTAATTCAGTTCAATTCTGACGTTATCTACCTGGAAATAGCATCAGATCCCACAGGTCAAGGGCTCAGTCCCCAAGACTGCCCCACATTTCCGATTCAGTCCAGGCCTCTGGAACTTCCAACTGACCAGCTATAAATCAGGGTTCCCACAACCCCCTCCTTGGGTTCAATTAGTTTGCTTGAGTGGCTCACAGAACTCAGGGAAACACGTACTTATGTTTACTGGTTTATTATAAAGGATATTACAAAGGGTACATATGAATAGATGCATAGGGCCAGGTATGGGAGAAGAAGTAGGGAGCTTCTGTGCCCTCCCTGGGCATGCAACTCTCCAGGAAACTCCACATGTTCAGCTATTCAGAAGCTCTCTGAACCCTGTTCTCTTGGGTTTTACAGAAGCTTCATTATGAAGGCATTACTAGAGCATGAACAACTGTGCAGATGTGATTGGATACGAAGGTATGATCTGACACTGACTTGCTGGGCAGAAAAACCCAGCAAGGCCTGTTTGTTTAGTTTTTTGCAACCTTCATCCCTCCTGAATATGGGACAAGGCCCCTCTTGAAATGGGGGTCTTATGACCTACAATCAGCTAAGGTAGGTCAGAGAACTTCCTGGCTTGGGAGAAAAAGGAGCAGGTGAAAGGAGGGCAGGGAAAGGTCAGAGAGTAGCCTGAGCCAGGAACCATGGACAAAAAACAATATGTAAGTATCACAATATCACAAGTGCAAATAGATGAAAGGGAAGACAGGGAATGACAGGCACCAGATTCAGGATGGCTGTCACCTGGGCAGTTAGAAGCCAGAGGCATGGGATTGGGGTGGGTCACAGAGAAGGGCAAGTTACTGTCCATGGCCAAGTTTCCTCTGGCACAGTGGCTTTCCAGGATTTTATTGTATTATTAAAAACATTTTTTTAAAGAGCTTCACATGAACGAGCAATACAAGTCTATCATGAACTAAGAATTATGCTCAACCCTGTGTTGTGTTCTAGGAGGGAGGAGAGAGAGATAGAGAGCTCATGTCTAACACATTATTAGATTGTTCACCAATGGGTAAGGGGGCTTGAGGAGGAAGGAGATAGTGAAGAATGTGTGGCCTAAGTAGACAATCATGCAGAGCCACCAAAGAGGGGCCTGTAGGCTGGTAATGACAATGGGTCACAGACTGAGAAATGAAGGTCAATTCTACCCTGTACTTCTGCATTTTATTTTTTGTTCTTTGATTCCAGTGAACTTTTAAATATGATCAATGCCCATTTATATGATTCTTCTGTGAATTATTTATTTTTTAAATGGGTGGGGCTATTATTTTATAAGAAGTCTGCTATGGTTTAAATGCCCTCTCCAAAACTCATGGTGAAGCTTAATCCCTGATGTGTCAGTGTTGGGAGGTGGGGCCTTTAGGAGGCAATTGGCTTGTGAGAGTTCTGCCTTCGA